TTTAGTTATAAAAAAAATGTTAAGTGCATACTAGACTTTCACCTGGTTTATTCTCTTTTAGAAATTTATTTTTTAGGGATCCCTGGGTGGTGCAGTGGTTTGGCGCCTGCCTTTGGCCCAGGGCGCGATCCTGGGGACCTGGGATGGAGTCCCACGTCGGGCTCCCTGCATGGAGCCTGCTTCTCCCTCTGCGTATGTCTCTGCCTCTCTCTCTCTCACTATGTGCCTATCATAAATAAAAAATAAAAATAAAAAAATTTAGAAATTTATTTTTTAAACTTATTTTTAAATTTTTAAAATTTATTAGAGAGAGCAGGAGCAGGGGAGAGATGCTGAGGGAGAAGAAGTAGAAGCCCTGCTGAGCAGGGACCCTGATCTGGGGCTTGATCCCTGGACCCAGAATCATGACCCGATGTGAAAGCAGACGCTTAACCAACTGAACCACCTAAGCGCCCCTCTCTTTTAGAATTTTTATTTATTTATTTATTTATGATAGTCACACAGAGAGAGAGAGAGAGAGAGGCAGAGACACAGGCAGAGGGAGAAGCAGGCTCCATGCACCGGGAGCCCGACGTGGGATTCGATCCCGGGTCTCCAGGATCGCGCCCTGGGCCAAAGGCAGGCGCTAAACCGCTGCGCCACCCAGGGATCCCTCTCTTTTAGAATTTAACACAGAAATTCTAACACAAGTAGACACAGATGCATATAACAAGGATGCTCCCTGGAAAATGAAAAACTCATGTCTTTTTTTTTTTTTAAGATAGGTTTATTTATTTATTTATTTATTTATTCATTCATTCATTCATTCATTCATTCATGATAGAGAGAGAGAGAGAGGCAGAGACACAGGCAGAGGGAGAAGCAGGCTCAATGCAGGGAGCCCGACGTGGGACTCAGTCCCGGGACTCCAGGATTGCACCCTGGGCCAAAGGCAGGCGCCAAACCGCTGAGCCACCCAGGGATCCCCCAACTCATGTCTTTTAAAGGGTGATTGGACAAATAAGTTATGATCTATTCATAAGTTATGATCATTATGATTCATTATGATCATTCAGTGGAGATCATCAGTCACTGAAAAGAGATAGTTCTATATGGGAATATAAATTAATTGGGAAAAAGAAAAAGCAAATTGCAGGAGGGACTGGGACTAGATGACCCAGGGCCAAGGCTTAGGGCACAATAGCTAAGGAGACACTCACTCTTAGGGAAATAGGAGTGTAGTGTTATACCCTGAGAATGAGTGCCTCCTGGAATCTGACATCTCATTTCTCCCCTCTCTTGCCTCTCATTCTAGTCTCAGCCCTGTACAATTTAATCCTTTATCTGTTAATAATAACAATTTTGTATATATATATATATATATATATATATATATATATATATATATAATTGTGTATACTGGTACAAACTTTTGTTTTTATTTTTCAAAGATTTATTTATTTATTTTAGAGAGAGAGTAAGCAGGGGAGGGGCAGAGAGAGGGGGAGAGAGAATTCCAAGCAGATCCTACACTGAGCATGGAGCCTACAGGGGGCTTGATCCCACGAGATGAGATGAGACTGACCCAAAACCAAGAATCAGATGCTTAACTGACTGCACCACACAGGCACCCCATTGGTACAAACCTTTTAGAAGGCATATATAGATGTGTGTGTGTGTGTGTGTGTGTGTGTGTGTGTATTTTATTTTTTAAAGTAATCTCCATACCCAACATGGGGCTGGAACTCACAACCCAGAGATCAAGAGTCACATGCTCTACCCACTGAGCCAGCCAGGCATTCCTGTGTGTGTGTGTGTGTGTGTGTGTGTGTGTGTGTGTGTTAGTTAAAGGGAAAAAACTGAGGAATATTTATCAAACTATTAGCAGTGGTTTTTCTGGGACATGGGATTGTGGGAGATTTTCTCGTTTTCTCAATCATATACTTCTGAAATCTTATGTTAAAAAGCAATTAACAATTGCATATTCTTGGTTATTGAAAAAGCAAGGAAGATATTAAAAAATAATAGAAAAAGCACACAAAAGAGTTCCATGTTCTATATATGAATACTGAATCTGAATACTGAACTGAGTACTTTGTGTATCTGTGGTTGGTATCATATAGCTACTACGTGAAGGATGAAATAATGAAAAAAATGAGTATTAAATGCTTTTGAAACATGTATTTTATTTACTTTTGTTTATTTTTTTGTTTATTTATTTTATTTATTTTTATTTAGTTGACAGAGAGGGAGAGGGAGAGAGACAGCACAAGCAAGGGGAGAGGCAGACAGGAGAGACAGAAGCAGGCTCCCCGCTGAACGGGGAGTTTGATGTGGGACTTGATCCCAGGACCTCAAGTGATGACCTGAGCCAAAAGCAGATGCTCAACTGACTGAGCCACTCAGGTGTCCCTGAAACATGTATTTTAAAAATTGTATGACAGGGGCGCTTGGCTGGCTCATTTGGGAGAGTATGTGACTCTTGATCTAGGGTTGTAAGTTTGAGCCCCACGTTGGGTGTAGAGATTACTTAAAAATAAATAAACTTGGGCACCTGGGTGGCTTGGTGGTTGAGTGTCTGCCTTTGACTCTGGTTGTGATCCTGGGATCCTGGGATCGAGTCCCAACATCAGGCTCCCCATGGGAAACCTGCCTCTGCCTCTCTCTCTCTGTCTCTCTCATGAATAAATAGGTAAAATCTTAAAAAACAAAACAAAACAAAAAAAAAACCTCTTTAAAATAAAAAAATAAATAAACTTTAAAAAAATGCATGACAGCATTCCCTCTGCAAAATTACATACTTGCCAAGTACAAATTCAAGTTACACAAGAGCCAATTTTAGCTTCTATGTGAATACTGTCTTCCCATACATGCCTTACCCTTTTCTCTAGATAAAGATCAGATTAGATGTCTTTCATATGGGAATTTCAAAGCAGTTTAAAGATATTAATTAGTTCTCACAACTCTGAATTGGGTGTATATTATCATGTCTATTTTCCATATGATAAGACTGATAGGCTGAATGGTTTCCCAGTATTCTATACCTCATGTTGTTAGTGAAACCAAGAATATCATTACTTAATTGACCATGTTTTCTTTCTTGAGAATAGATAAACCAATTTTGGGGTGGATAAGTCAAACTAAATAGCTATTTATGCATCAAACATTTTGTTAGAAACAGGTATTTTTATTTTTATATTTTCTTTCTTTCTTTTCTTTTTTTTTATATTTTCTAAATAACCTGGAGTATATTTTTTCAGTAGGCTCCACACCCGCGTGGAGCCCAACTTGAAGCTTGAACTCAACACCCTGAGATCAAGACCTGAGCTGAGATTAAGAGTCTGATGCTTAAGCAACTGAGCCACGTGGGCATTTAAAATTTACTCTATACCCCAGTAGTTGGTTGGACAATATTTTATTTTTTGTTAATTTTTATTTATTTATGATAGTCACAGAGAGAGAGAGAGAGAGAGAGAGAGAGGCAGAGACACAGGCAGAGGGAGAAGCAGGCTCCATGCACCGGGAGCCCGACGTGGGACTCGATCCCGGGTCTCCAGGATCGCGCCCTGGGCCAAAGGCAGGCGCCAAATCGCTGCGCCACCCAGGGATCCCTGGACAATATTTTCTAAATTAAAATTTCTATTTTAAATAAATAAATAAATAAATAAAATTTCTATTTTTTTAAAAAATATTTTATTTATTTATTCATGAGAGACACACACACAGAGAGAGAGAGAGAGAGGGAGAGAGAGAGGCAGAGACACAAGCAGAGGGAGAATCAGGCTCCACGCAGGACGTGGATCCCGGGTCTCCAGGATCATGCCCTGGGCTGAAGGAGGCGCTAAACTGCTGAGTCACTGGGGCTGCCCTAAGATTGCTATTTTAAAATGTGTAGACAGGGGATCCCTGGGTGGCTCAGCGGTTTTGCACCTGCCTTTGGCCCAGGGCGCGATCCTGAAGTCCCTGGATCGAGTCCCACGTCGGGCTCCCAGCATGAAGTCTGCCTCTCTCTCTCTCTCTCTCTCTCTCTCTCTCTATCATAAATAAATAAAAATAAATCTTTAAAAAAAATAAAATGTGTAGACAGTCAGAGGTTAAGCTCTGTTGTAGTTTCATCAAAGATCTGCTTTGGGTATTTTGTCAATTATAAGAAATGTACTTACAGATGAAGTAACTTGGTTTACTGACTAGGAGACCTACTTTTAAAGATCCTGGCCTGGCATACTGGAAGGATACAATAAATTCTTGGAAAAGGCAGGGTCAGAATACACTTCACTTGTGCCATTACTATACTAACTGCCTTATTCACATTATCTCATTTAATCCACCACATTGCACTTCTCATTTTACAGAATAAGAAAGAGCCCAACTGAGACTTACCTAACATGAGTCATGTTGAATAAGAAGGCAGGCAGGATTCTAAAAATCAAGTTAATAAAGCCAATTTGGAAAAAAAAAAAAGAAAGTCAATTTGAGTCTACCATGTTCTCCTTTTTGTTTTTAAATTTTTTTTTCAAAGATATTATTTATTTATTTGACAAGAGAGAGAGCACAAACAGGGAAAGTGGCAGAGGGAAGAGAAGCAACCTCTCCACTGAACAGGGAGCCTGATGTGGGGCTCAATCCAGGGACTGGGACTGTGGGATCATGACCTGAGCTGAAGGCAGACACTTAACCTTAACTGCTTAACTGACTGAGGCACCCAGGTGCCCGTCTTTCTTGTTTTTTAGTCTCCAACTTGAATCAGATGCATGATTTTAACCTGCCATTTTGAACTCTGTATTTATGAATATGCCCATTTAAACAATAGTCATTATTTAATTCTTTTTTTAATTTAAAATTAATCAATTAACATAGAGTGCATTATTCATTTCAGAGCTAAAGTATAGTGATTCTTCAGTTACATATAACACCCAGTGTTCATTACATCAAGTGCTCTCCTTAATGCCCATCACCCAGTATCCTCCCAGCCACCTCCCCCCGCCCCGCCAGCAACCCTCAGTTTTTCTCCCATAGTTCAAAAAATTATGGAATGCTTCATGAATTTACGTGTTATCCTTGCGCAGGGGCCATGCTAATCCCTGTATTATTCCAATTTTAGTACATGTGCTGCTGAAGCGAACACTAATCTATTTAATTATTTATCAAATTTTTATGCAAGGAAACTATTTCCAATTTTTTCTATTCTCGTTTTTATTTTACTGAAATGATTATGTGCCAGATCAACTTTTTTCATGTACATTTTACAGTGAGATTCATTGCAGTCATCAGGTTTTTATCCTTGTCAAATTCTGTCCATTTTAACTACTACTATGGTGAGCTTTCTTTCACAGCTATTATTTTCATGAAACTTTATTTTTCCCTGTGACCCAAAGTATTTATTGGATTAAAGAGATAGGGTCAAAACATCCCCTTTTGCCTGGGATGCAACAGTTTAATATAGGTCATTTCTTATGATGGTAATTACGAGGCAAGTCTTATCTTACCTTTTCTATCTATCTCACGGGAGGGAGGCTCAAATGCAAAAATAGATGTGAAAGTGCTTTGTAAGGTGTAAAAGTTAAGTAAATGTCACTTTACTGATTGTTAAAACAAGTCATATAAATCCATCCTCCTGGAACTGTTCTAGAAGGCAAACACCTTCTTATTCCTGCTGTAATGTTATTTGCAAAAATGCTTGCAGACTTCAGCTGATTTTCTAAGTATATCCTAGTGAGCTAGTGACTTCACTCTGTTCTCTTGTCATTTGTTTTCCATTCTGACCTCATTAATTTTTCTTTCTCTAGCCCTTGTCCTGAAATCCTCTGTGATGGATTACATATGGATGTTATAATGGATTTGTACCATTGGTTATCAGTTTCATCATCTTGGTTGCTGTAATTGTTGCATGGGATTAAATGATAGTGTTACTGGCTGGCAGTTGCTTGAGAAAAATTAAAACAAACCTGTGACCAAACAGATGATATCTCAGCAGGGGTTGCAGGTACACTGTTATAATAAGAGATTCTTCTTATCACACCTCTGTCACTTGCTTAATACACTACTTGCTTGTACAAGAGTTTGGAAGGAAGGAGTAAGGCCACTGTTAATCTAAGCAAAACTTACAAATTCTATTATTTACTGTAAGGCCTAACGTTTATACGTTTAGGGTTTTTCCCTTTTAATATCCTAAAACAGCTTAAGATTTCAAGCATTGTTTTCAACAAACCGCATTACTTATAAATAGTAACATTAGGTAAAGGCCCATGAGAAGTGATACAGTTTCATTATATTGATTTTGTCCTCCTAGGGTTAGTATAAGGACAAAGATATTTTTTTCTTTAAGAATCTGCTACATTTCTTATGTATAGTTTTGTTCTTAAACAGTATCCTGCAAAAGAAGTGAAAGTTTGGGGATTAGCAATGTGATTGTTACTGGCAAAATGCCTTTCAGTTCCTCTTCTTAAAAAATAGCTTTATTGGGGCACCTGAGTGTCCCAATCAGTTAAGTGTCTGCCTTTGGCTCAGGTCTTGATCACAGGGTCCTAGGATGGAACCCTACATTGGGCTCCCTGCTGAGACGGGAGTCTGCTTCTCTCTCTGCCTTTCTTTCCCCTTGCTTTCTTTCTTTCTCTCTCTCTCTCTCTCTCTCTAAGATTATTTATTTATTTATTCATGAGAGACACAGAAGGAGACAGAGGCAGAGACACAGGCAGAGGGAGAAGCAGGCTCCATGCAGGAAGCCTGACATAGGACTCGATCCCGGGTCTCCAGGATCACGCCCTGGGCCGAAGGTGGTGCTAAACCGCTGAGCCACTGGGGCTCCCCTCTCTCTTTCCCTTAAATGAGTAAAGTCTTTAAAAAAAAAAAAAAACACCTTTATTGAGATATAATTCTCAATACAATTCATCTATTCAAAGTGGACAATTCAATAGCTTTTAGTGTATTCATAGAGTTGTGCAACTATCACCCGTGATCAATTTTGAAATGCATTCATCACCTCAACAGGAGACTCCTTATCCAGTATTGTCACTTCACATTTATTCCCAATGTCCTTCGTCCTCCACCCCTGTGCAACCACTAATCTACTTTCTGTCTCTAAATTTGCCTATTCTGGACATTTCACATACATGGAATCATACAATATGTGGTCTTCTGTGAATGGTTCCTTTCTCTCAATATATGGACTTCAAGATTCATCCATGTTGTAGCATGTATCAATGCTTCATTAGTTTTATGGGTGGGTAATATTATATTGCATGGATATACCACATTTATTTACCCATTTATCAGTTAATGAACATTTTAGTTGTTTCCTCTTTATGGTTAAAATGAACAATGCGGGCTCAGCAGTTTAGCGCCGCCTTCAGCCCAGGGTGTGATCCCAGAGACAGGGGATCCAGTCCCACATCAGGCTCCCTGTGTCTCTGCCTCTCTCTCTCTCTCTCTCTCTCTCATGAATAAATAAATAAAATCTTAAAAAATATATAAAAATAAATCAAACGAACAATGCTTCTATGAATATTTGTGTAGATATTTTTTTTTCATTTCTCTTGGGTATATACCTAGGATTGGAATTACTGGGTCATATGGTAAACCAATGCATAGCTTTTATTTTTTTTTAAGATTGATTGATTGATTCATTCATTCATTCATTCATGAGGGACGCAGAAAAAGAGGCAGAGACATAGGCAGAAGGAAAAGCAGGTCTCCTTGCAGGGAGCCCAATGCCTCCCAGGATCATGACCCAAGTCAAAGGCTGATACTCAGCCACTGAGCCACCGCTGCTCCAATGCTCAACTTTTGAAGAACTGTCAAACTATTCTCCAAAGTAACTGCACCATTTTACATTCTCATTAGCAATATCTCAGGGTTCCATTTTTTTCACATCCTTTTAGATATTTTTATCTATCTTTTTTTTATCTTAGCCACCTTAGTGAGTGTGAAGTGGTACCTCATTGTGATTTTGATTTGTATTTCCTTAATGGTTAATGATGCTGAACATCATTTCATATTTTTATTGGTCATTTGTAATCTTTTTTTGAGAAATGTCTATTTAGAGTCCTTGCTCATTCTTAAATTGGGTTTTCACTTTTAGTTTAGGAAATTCATTTCATATCTTAAATTCCTTTGAAAATTTTTCCTGTTGTTTTCTCTGCTACTTAAAAAGTATGCTTTATGTCCATTCATCTATTCAAATAAGTTCGGCATTTATTGAGGACCTAATATGTGTCAGATTTATGCTAAATCCTGACTCTAAAGTGCCAGGTTTTAAGGAATCCATAATCTCCTGGCTTCCCAAAAAGATAATTTGCAAAACAATGGTGTAAATGCTATTGTAGACCTCACAATGGGAGATTAAATTGGCTCAACAGTAAAACCCTTTCAGGGATATGGACAAGAAGGTTTTAACTAATGTTTGAGATGAAATATAATGGAGACCATGTTTTTTGCAGTAGGTGGAAAAAAATCAAAGTGTACAGATTATACCTCTCATCAGTCAAGAGTACTACTGAAATACTGATGACATTAGTCATAGAGATAGCTGAGCGAGAGAAGCTGGCATGGAGCAGAACTTGCAAGGCAGAGCTCTGGCCAAGCCTCACTGGCAATACAATGGATAAAATCTCTATCTGAAGCCATCATTCAGAAATTACAGATTTAGAAAATATCACTGCTTTTGCAAATAATAATAATGGCATTGATCTCAAAAGCCACATTGCATCTCAGCCAGATCTGCTTGATTTAAGGACAGGTAAAACACATTAAACACATAAAGAACACAGAAAAGAAAATCAGCATTGAACTATGCAAGAAGATAAATCAAAACAGAAAGTATGACTTAGCCATTTGCAGCTAAGGATTTTCACCAGTTCTATAATGAAGAGGAGATGAAAATAAATATCAGAATCTTCTGGGGCCACCTGGGTGGCTCAGTCAATTAAGCATCTGCCTTCAGCTCAGGTCATGATCCCAGGGTCCTGGGATTAAGCCCCGCATTGGGCTGCCCAGCCGGGTGTCTGCTTCTCCCTCTCCTTCTGCTTCTCCCCCCACTCATGCTCTTTCTGTCTCTCTGTTTCAAAAAAATAAATCTTAAAAAAAAAAAAAAAGAAAACTTCTGCATTTCATTTATGGTGGTATATAGACAAACTTGTATTGGCTGCATATAGGAGCTCTATTATACTACGTGTTTTAGCCACTTGGTAAGTTGCTTTGCTGTCTTCATGATCCCTTGCTTGAAGACAGCACTTCCATTCCAGCTAAAATATGTGAATCTGGCCAGCCCCGGTGGCTCAGTGGTTTAGCGCCGCCTTCAGCCTGGGGTGTGATCCTGGAGACCCAGGATCGAGTCCCACGTCGGGCTCCTTGCATGGAGCCTGCTTCTCCCTCTGCCTGTGTCTCTGCCTCTCTCTCTCTCTCTCTCTCTCTCTGTGTGTCTCTCATGAATAAATAAAATAAAATCTTTAAAAAAATAAAATAAAATATGTGAATCTGGTGGAACCTGCCAGGGACAATTAAAATTCTAGTGCCCAAATGGTTTATTTATACCATTTCTATTTCTGTTCCATCAGAGGCTTGAGCAGACTTACACAGATGATATAATACAATAAAATAGAAAAAAAATTAAAATAAAAAAGATATGAGTGACTGGGTGGCTCAGTTGGTTTTGTCCAACTCTTGATTTCAGCTCAGGTCCTTTTTTTTTTTTTTTTTAAAGATGGATTTTTTTTTAAATTTTTTTTAAAGTGTTTCTTTTTTTTTAATTATTTATTTATGATAGTCAGAGAGAGAGAGAGAGAGAGAGAGGCAGACACACAGGCAGAGGGAGAAACAGGCTCCATGCACCGGGAGCCCGACGTGGGATTCGATCCCGGGTCTCCAGGATCGCGCCCTGGGCCAAAGGCAGGCGCCAAACCGCTGCGCCACCCAGGGATCCCTCAGCTCAGGTCTTAATCTCAGGGTTGTGAGTTCAAGCCCTGCGTTGGGCCCCATACTGGGTATGGAACCTACTTAAATGAATAAATAGGGGCCCCCAGGTTGGCTCAGGTCATGATCTTGGGGTGGTGGGATCAAGCATGGAGTTCCATGCTCAGCAGGGAGTCTGCTTGAGATTCTCTATCTCCCTCTCCCTCAAGCCCTTCCCCC